CTAATAGGCCACTAATTGCGCGGGGGAGGTGCTGGAGGGGGGGGTGGTGCAGGAACCCATGATATACCCTTACTGCTGACTTTAGGCTGCAAGCTTCGACGTCAATAGATCTACGGTAGTTGTATCACAGCCTGGCTTGAAAATACAGCAATGCCACTGAAACAAGCGCCCAAACTCCCAAGCCTTAAACCAATCTTTTCCGAAGCGCGAAAACCCGAGGCAAAAGTCTCCCAGCTCCTAAGGGGCGCTTCGCCTCAAACTCAAAACTCAAAACCGCAGGCATACAATTCTGTTTGGTTTGAAAGGTTTCAATGCTTCCGCGTAACAAGGCTTATCCTTGCAGGTAGCGTGCGACTAGAAGAGAGTCTTAATTTGGCTGGGCACACTGACAAACAGTTCGCACAATATCATGAAGACGACGTCCCAGACTCTACACCCTTGAAAAAGACCGAACCTCTTAGAACCTCAGAAACCCTGAATGGAAAACATGTTTTCCTCAAGCTGAACCTCTACACGATCAAACTGTATTCTCGTCCGACTTTGAAAGCATCTGTACCATTCTGTATCAGTGCTGAGCTCATCAAGTCCTCCTAAGACTTAAGCTTAGCCGCTGCCTGCTTTCTCTGCTTTTTCCATGCCCAATGGGCCCACCACACACCTCAGTCAACAGGAACTACCAAAGTAGGCTTTCAAGCGTTGGGCAGCCTGGCTCGGGTTTAGTGATGTGCCCTAGACAGTCGAGGCACCTCTTCGTCGCTAGTAATGCTGAAGCCACAGCGGCCACAAAAACACAGAAAGCACGTTAGCGAACACGACAGTCGTACTGCAAGCTGCGAAGCCCAGACGCCATGTGTTTGTACACCCCATTAACATGTCTAAAGCTCCTGAGGACGGCAGCAATTGCGAGGATGCTGGTATTCTACTTGATAGTCTACACTGGAAAAGCCACTCCTGTGCCAGCGTCACTAAAGTCACTAAAATGGCCCAGCTTGTCCGGCTACCTGTGCTGAGAGAAGTGCTCGACCCCAAATGCCTCAAAAGGCTTCTCAACTCGAAGCTCGCCTGCCCCACAAAATGCCTTGGAGGTTTTCCAGTCTATGTCCCAGGATGGGCCCTGAATCTAAGTTCCCAGACTTCAACCCCGAACGAGGAAACATCCTCTGCAAAATCCTACATATCAAGACCTGAATCAACAAATCCCGCCGTCTCTGTTGCCAAGTCACAGACTTTCCGGCGGAGCTGGCGAGGTCGCCGGGAAAAGATCTTCCTTGCTCGGGTCAAGGGCTCTTAAGCTTTGGGGTTTCAGCCTTGTCCCTACACCTGTTGCCTACGCATTTGGAACACTGTAGCCGGAGCTGTTGGGGACATCAAGCTTCAGGCTCCGGCCTACCTGAGGCAAAGCACTCAACAGCAATGAACAAACACAAGCAAAGCCCTGGACCCTATTCTCTTTCCAAGTTACTAAACCCGATGAACGAAACCCAAACCCTGGACAACATCCGAAAACCACAAACAATGAAATCTCAG